AGGCGTTTATTGCGCCACATAAACAAAATCTAAAATGTAAACCAATGCACATAGGAGACCTAACGGGACTCCTACTCTACTGTCAAACACAGTTTGCACAAAAATTTCCATTCGTGATGACGTACAAATCGGATTTACGAAAAAGTGTCTCAAATGCTTTTGGACAGCTAAGTTCAAAACAAAATCTGCATGTGTCTAAAGATGAACCAATCTATCTTTGAACCATGTATTGTGTTTCATGGACTTGATATGAAGACAAAGATTCTAGAAAAAGCAGATAGTCTAGTCGTATTCCCAATTTAAATGCTCAAACCCTTCAAAATTGTCATCATGTACCGAAAACCGGGTTGGTCAAGCAACCATTCATTTTTTGTGATTATTATGGTTACAGCACATCCGAATTTGAACCAAAACAATAGATTCAGACACGATCAATAGCAATCAGCAAAATAAGTTATGAAAAAATTCCAAATAGTGTCAAAAATTGGATGTTCACTTCGCCTCATAGCATGTTGCATTCAAAAATTCAACATTTTGGACAGTGAAACATTCATCGCCAAATCGAACCACGAATCAAGTGCAAGTGGTTTCTTTTGCATTGATTATGTTAGGGCACTATCATATAAGGCTAGAGACGTCGACAAACTGAACTTTGATAAAGGGGTGTTTGTATGGTAGGATTTTCTTTGGAAGGTGTCTTGAGCCATTATTCGAAAATTTAGTGCTGAAATGTAAGGTTAAACCTCAATTACTTGCTCTATTATCAACCAAATATTCTTGAAAACGATAGAGTTTGTTGTGGACTATCTGATTAAAGACAAAATTGTGCTTTGCAATCAGAAAAAATCACAATAATGGCTCACTTCTTAAAAAATATCATTTCCATGAAAAAAGGACCATCTTTTTAACTTCAGAAAAAAACACAGAATTAATTATTACTAGTCTGTTTTTGGATGTTTGTTATAGGCGAAGGTCCAAAATACTTGAAACGAGCAACAATTGGTTGCATGGATTGAGAGAAAGTTGAAAGAAATCGACAAATCGGTTGTCCAGAACATAATTTTGATGGTTCGACGCATACTAAGAAAAATCGAAGACAATGGTCCGTTCAGTGTAAAGTGAATGTGCTATTCGATAGCCTATGAATAAAGGTTTATACCAATAAAAAAGAATTTAATATTGTGTGTTTGTTGTTTGAATGGCGAACATCTGAATTTAGTGCAAAGACTTTTTACTCATATGTTACTCATGTATAAGACGATCCACATTTAATGTTAAACGAAATGAAATTTCACTTTACCAAATTGAACTTGGAACAAATCTTGAAATGTTCTGCATCGATACGTTACGTAGCAAACACTTATGTGCCCGCATCTTGATGCCATTCACCATTACGAATTGTGTCATTTTTTATTCGTTCTCGCAAAATTCCGTTTCTAATGGTACCGAGCCAAACATTCATTTATAAAAATACGCTGAACAATACGTATTTCCGCTGCGGGCTCGGTGAACTGTAATAAGCATAAACATGTGAAAACAGAGTAACCATTCCAATACTCAATTTCAATCAAAAATTCCTTATTCACGTTTTAAGAAAAACAGCTTGAAAGGCGGAAGTACGTTGTGGGAATTCGTCCTTTCAATCGTTTGCTATACCGAATTAGCAACATGGGCAATTACTAAAAAGTATTAATTTCACCACAGTGAAATTACCAAAAGCGATAAGAATGAAGCGTGGTGCGTCATGCACATTAAAAGCATACCAAAATGTACTCGCCTTTCAGGCTCCAAAAATAGATTTTCAAGAATTGGCAACTTGAATAATTGATTAAACTAATGTGTGTAAACGCAAATTAATAGCGATAATATACTATATAAAAACGAGAGAAAAATAATTTCCACAAAAGGATGTAGAGTATGTTAGACACCATCGACAATTTGTCTGTGCTATATTGTGAAAGTTTTTGCACTAGTGCTGATTTTGATGAAAATTCAAAGCTGACGCGATGCTATCGTCTCATGTTCAGTAGACATTTATCCGATTTACTAAATGTAGCAAATTTAATGCGACATTTTCTTTTCAGCCTCGACATCCGACATACCAAACACTTTTCGCCATAATTTGAATTCACTGTTCACTGAAATGATAGTTTCAGTAGAAAGTTCACCTTTTGTCCTTTTTTTTCTCGCCGTCTGGATGACATTTTTGGGTGCCTTCTTTACACATATAAACGACATGCGAAAGGCTAAATGAAAATGAAAATTGAATTAAACCATACCCAAGAATCATTATTTTAGTTTTTTTATCATCTAAGACAGACAGGCTACTTTTATTCGTTTTTCGTCCAACGGAGCATATTTTTGTTTATTTTAATAAGACAAAACAAGAGAATATTGCATCGTTATGAATAGTTTCGTTAAGATATAAAAAGGTGAGGTAAGATTCCAGCGCTGTAAGCAAATCGAAAAATCTATGAATTCTTATATCATTCGTATATGTTACGTTGTCATCTAAAATGATCATGTACCAACTCTTGTATGTTTTAATATTGCTTGATCTTTTTCATAGAAAAAACACACAAACTAAAACAAGAAAAATGTAAAAGAATATTTCGGAAATGGATTTAAATGTTTGAAAACCTTTTACCTTATAAAGATATAATGGTTCGATAGGCACAAAAAGGTAGGGGGAAAACTCTTAAAAGCATTCATTTTCACGCTCACTTCTGTAAGCATACATGTATATGAATGACAGTGAGATATATCATATGTCGCAGCCATTTAGTAACTTTGCTGATGTTTTGAATTTACGATTGTTTGCTGTGATGGGTTTGAAATTGCTTTTATTCTTGCCAGTCGACGATTATCAAAATGTTTTGAAGAAAGAAATAAAACAAAGAAGTATAAGACAAAAGGTAAGCAGGTAAAGTTTGAAACTCGTTGCAAACTTGCATATACACGAGACATCAATGCCAATCCACTATAAATGAACTCACTTAGACTTTTTTTGCACCCCAAAAAATATCGTTTGCATACCTTTTTTTATGTGAACTTTCTACGTCAAAAGTAATTTATTTTCACACTTTTTTCCCTCAAATGTTAAGTTCAATATAAAAGAGGCGAGAAATTTGGTTGGCATACACGACACGACTATGCCTAAAGCTATTATTTTTCTACAATAATGTGTAAATGACGTGCACGCACCAAAATCAATAATACCTGTAGCAAAAGAAAATTGCGGTAAAGAAGATAAATGCCAAATTCGGTATAATACATTTGGCAAATACGCGATGAGCGCAATGTAGGATGAAAATATATTTCATTTTAATAAGAAAAAAACGTTCTGAGATTTAATCTTAAAAGCATGCAAACCGAGATAATGATGATTACGCCAAAGACTAATGGATTTGGTTGACGATTTTGTCAGTGCGGCCGATTCGTAATTAGACAAAAACTAACAACTTAATTACATCGGCATATTGGGATTCGACGCACGATATTTTCAAGATTGGCTTTCGTCACATTTCTTATAAATTCTATTTGCATCACATAGGCATCACAATTCTTCGTAACATTAATCACTGCACAAGTCCATTCATCTTCTACTCAACACACTCTAATATTCGAGGATCATTCGCGAAAATCCATGCGAAAGTCGGTCGAAGAGAAAAAAAAAGTAGAATTAATCATATTAGTTCATGTAGTCACTTCGTCGTATACAATTCGATTCGTATTCCATTAAGCAAATTCTTGGCACCGATTTTATTTACGTTGTTCAGTGTCACTCAATTTGAATGAAGAGGGAAACGAAATAATCAAATTCTGTCCATTAAACATAATAAAATGTATTCTCGAAATATTTTCCACATCGAGTTACTGAGAAAAAAAAATGAAAAAAAAAAACATACACGTTATATGCATTGAAGCAATATTTTCTACCGGAATTATATGTGACCAGAATTTTTATTCAATCATAAATCGTACTCGGAATTGCACGTGTTTTTCAAAAAGTTTGATCAGGTTTTATCAATCGAAAATGAATATTTCATTTCTTTTGTTGACAATGAATTTTCCCATCCACATATTCCTATCACATTTTCTCTGACGAGCAAACTGTAAATAAAATCATTGAGTCAAATGAGTGGATGTGTGAGTGTATAAATAGCACGTTCATTGTATTGACGTTGAACGGTATTTTTTATTTGGTATTAAATGTCAATAAATGAAATGAAACGAAAAATGTACAAACATCGATTTACATTTTTTTTAAGTTGCCGTTGCTGACGCCGACAGTAAGCGTGTGCAAAATTACCGAGGAAAAAATATATCACTTGTATATTTATGCTTAAAAATGGAAAAGAGCAAATGCAACAGCACATAAATGAAACTCGTGTTTACTTTTTACAATAACAAAATTTGTATCCCACTTCGAAACTGTGTCACATGAGACCAAATATAAAATACAACACAATTGCGCAACTAGCGCCAAAGGGTATTCAAAAATTTACCAGCGACTTAGTATATATTACACTGAATTCCGTCGTGGCGGCACTGTTGTATGATAGATTCGGCAGTATTTCGGTATGGCACATGCGAACGAGCTTTTAAATAGTAAAACGGTCTTCAGAGATGAAAATGTTGGAACGCGATAATACCTGACCCTAACATGACGTTTATTATGTATTTTCAGTCTTCAAAAAACTGATTAAACACGAAAAACTCGAAAATACATTTAGTGCTTGAACATGGAAAAGTTTTGTTTGTCGTAAAATGAGGCAAAAATCGTGCCGAAAAAGTTCAATTTCACTTTGCTTGCTTGGCAAGAAGCAAATGTTGTTTGGCCAAATATCGCTATTGGTTCAATTTTATGTTGTTGTTTTTTTGTCGGTGACAACATCTGCAAAATCTAATTTGTATGGTTTATTTACCTATTAATTTAACGCTTCATTTTTCAATTTTTCTTTCTCTGCATTTTTGTATATTTTTTTGATGAAATTTACCCGGTACGCCATATTCAACATAAAAACCTAATATTATTCATAAATATTTCATTCAATGTCGCCATTTTAACCATTTCTCACCTTTATTTGATTTGTGTAGTTGATCTACCATTTTTACGAATCTGACACGTACTTTTATTTGAACATAGCATGCAAAACAGTCAACAAAATACCAACGCATATTGAGCTTTTGAGTGCTTCAAATTGAAATGTGTTGCTGAAAGGCGATAAAATCCGCTTTGGAGATAACAGAATATTTGATGAACAATGAAGCTTGTAAAACAGCCTCATCAATAAAAATCGCCAACAATGACGACGGTAATTTTTATTCTGATAATTGGAAGTTGGTAGCAACGACACAACTCTTGAAAAATAGCCCAATTTTAAAATAATCGCTGAAAATGGGCGCTACTTTAGACGGTTTCACTTAGCAACGTAATGCAAATTACTAAGAATATTTACTCAAAATCTACATCTAGACATGTTTATCGTAAAATAGATATTTTCAATAAAAGGCTCTTTTTTTTAGACCGAGTGTAATCAAAATGCGTACAAACACTTCATTGTTTGCCAGTCATAAGAAAAAAAGGTCAAAAAAGTGAACAACTGCAATGGTACACTTTGAACTGGAGCCTAAAATAACCCACTTAACACACCATGAATCAATGAAATCATCGCGTTTGCATGCAATAGATTTTTGTATACGCAGTCTACAGCGATTGTTCATCGTATTGTTAAATTCAAATTAAAGCGCAATATTTGTTTCCGTCTATGATCTAATAAGTATCGTTTTTTTTTTAAAAAAAAAAAACATTAAATTTATTTCCAGTCGGCAAATTGGAAAGGGAAATATGGCACGTAGGTAATTTGCATAAATTTTATACGAAATTAAATTGAATGGAATATTTTCACAATGTATTGGCTATAAATACACGTTGTTTAATAACCCGGCGGCCAGTCGTTCCGAAGATTCCAAGCGTCAACTTAGACTTAACGTTGTGTGTGTGCCAAAATATACGCTAAGTGGTGATAAAAAATGGAAATAAGTTGTTTATCCAAGAGCTCATGTCAAGATTTTTTACGAGACGAGCATTTCAAATATCGTTTGACCGATGCCATTTACTCGCCGCCGAAACGTTTGGAAATTCAACAACAGCCGCTCATCAGTATTATCGATGTTTTGAACGACGATTGCCTGGAAGAAATTCTCATGAATTTAAATTTAAAGCAATTGTTTGACATTGTGTGCGTTCATATTCGGTTCTTGATTGCCTGCCGGCGTGTGTTTTTGAGAAAGTACCGAAATAAAGAAATCGTCATTTCCGCTTATCAAACAAAGCATCCTGACTACGTAAATATTTTGTATTTGTTGGGTGATGTTATATCAAATGTACGTGTCACCTACGACCAACGTAAAGACAACCATGGTTTTGAACATTTCAACAACAATGGAATTCATGAGGCGATTATTTCCCACTGCAGTGGCACTTTGGTCGAAATAACTTTTAATCACATCCAACCAACAATGACAACAAATAAACCATTTCCAAACGTCAACAACTTAAACTTCAATCAAGGTTGCGTGGGACAAACAATATCCGAATTTAACAAATGGTTTCCAAAACTTAACAGTTTACAGTTTTTCTTCTGCAAAATCATCGACACACATTGCATCGAACAAACTTTTCCGCATCTCGAACATTTTACGGTAGCCCATCAGAATTTTACATTTGAAAATTTGTGCACATTTCTTGATCACAATCAACAATTGAAAACATTTGCTGTCTACAACTATGATCGTAATCTCATTCGGCAACTGGAAGAATATACTAGACTGAACTTCAAATCGTTAAACACAAAATTCGAAGTATATCCATGCTACTTCTCATTTTCATAACAATAATATAATAATCGTAGTAGCAATTTGAGTTGATTAAGCAATTTGTATTAAGTTAATGTAATAAAGTGTATTGTGTCAATTTAACATATCAATTATTCAAATTAATTTACAAAACATATACCCAATAAATAGTCCGCACAATACGTGTGATAATTTGCATGAATGGAATGTGAAGTAATGCAATTCGAAAACAAAGCACTGCATTTCATTGAAACTTATTACGCATTTGCATATCATTTGAATACACATGTGTATTTGACCGACTTCACCATGAACCGCAATCGTCATCACCACAATTATAATCATCGAAAATGCATTTTGTAGAACTATTTGAAATTGTAAACTAAAAATAGGCGGAATTTCATTAAATTATTGAAAGAGACAGACAGAAATAAAGAAAGAAAATTGGAGAGAAAAGAAAATAAAAAAAAAAATATACTCAAAATAGCTCATAAATAAATCCGCATGAAAAACCGATATAATCGGAATCGAGCAATCAGCACTTGGGAACCTTCTCAAAATATCGCCATTGAAATCAATTAAAAAGTAATATTCCGAAATTATAAATTAATATTCAATTTCAGTTGATGAAGTGTTGAAAATGGTATAGATCCCATAAATCGATACAAAAAAATTCCCATTCGCATTTTCATCGCGGTCATTCAATGTTTATGAAAATAAACGAGCACCAACTGAATTTGGGGGAATGTGGCTCGCATTCAGATGGGAATATTTCAATTAAAAATGAATTGCTGTAATGGAAAAAGAAACTCAATGCGAAATGAGAGACTTATCAGAGGAGAAATGGATAGGAAAAAGGTCAAATAAACATTAAACAGACAGTTGAAATGGGATACACACAAACAGACGCTCGTACCACCGAGCAAAAGCATGTTGACGAAATACTTTGCCAGATTGAATTTATAAATTGTTTCCCTTTTTTTTCGGCGGCCATTATTAATGTTGATTGGTGCTAGGTTTCAGTGTAAATATCAGAAGTATTGTACAAATGATTAAAAATAACACAATATTTGTGCGATGTGCGTACAGCAAACAATTTATTTTTGTATTTTTCTCTAACGAATTTTATTCATCAAAACTTCAATCGATTTTTCTTTTGCCATCCGCGAAATTTTATCCATTTTTTATTTGTTTCGTCTTTTCATTTTTTTGTGTGTAATTCAAGCAAATAGACAGCAAAGTATCGGTTAAATAGAATGAACATTCTTTCTTTCATCCAGAATTTTGATGACATCAAATTATATTTCATCCATAATGTAATGAATATCGTCCTGTAATTACAGCAATCACCCATTTTATGTGAAAATGCTGGTGTATTCTTGTGAACTGAACCACACTTTAATGTTTTAATGTTGCGCCTTAAGCTTAGGCAGTACGTTTTTGCCAGTTGTATACTTATCGCATTGCTTGACTTGAACTTAACTACTACGTACATTTCCTTTATGTAATGATTTAATATTAATGTGAAAAAGAAGAATGTAACCAGTTAACGATGAAAGCTGTGCCAAATCGAAAAAAGACCAACAATACGAAAAAAAAAATGTTATGATTATTTTGTTGTATTTTACGGAAAGGGAAGAGAGAGAAAATAATACCGAAAGAAAAACGTAGAGAAATCAAAACGTTTTGAAAGAAGCTAGGGATGAAGTGAACTGAGACGGAAGTGAAATGCGAGGGCTAAAAGGAAAACGTGATGCAGCATAATCATAAGTACGTGAGAGACGTTTACATTAAGCGATATAAATGGTTTTCGGAGGAAATTATAAATCGAAAAAGATGAAAGCGTGCTACAATTATGACAAAAACGAGACTCGCATCAAAATTATACCACCATTTGGCGTAGGCCATGTAACTAGAATGAAGCATTGCTGACACACCGTACTCTGCACTGTGATGTGTGCACCTGTGTGAAATATACCAAAGAAATTAGTTCATTTATATCGACTTTGAACTAAAGGTTAATTGAAAAAACGACAATACGCCTGCCTAATCTCCAACGAACGTCGACCAAGTTTTACACATGAATACAAATACTAAAAATACACACACATACCTTGAAGTTTATTTGGAAGCGATTCGATTTGTCATCTCCATCGTCAAACAATGTAAACATCTCAAAGTTATATTTTTGGAACACTGCACAACGCCCCATGTCTAATTCATTTTGTCTCTCGTATTTATTTTGAAACGAAATGAAAGAAAAACAGATGCGATATTAAATGAAAAAACTTTTTACCGAACTGAAAAATACCGAAAGAATGGAAGGGGAGGGCAAAATGGCAATAGACTCTTGCGGTTTTTCTTGTTTCGTTCGAAAATTGTAAAATGTTCTGTGCATGAAATTTGCTTTCGTTTGCTTATTTCGAAGTGAAAAAAGGCACCAGTCTAATTGCGAATTGAATTCAATCGCAATTTATAGTATAGAAATTTAGTATGCTCTTGTTTTCCATTTATTAAATTGTTTCCGTTCTGTATGGCTCGTTAAAAACACTCATTTGTATTTATTCTTCTGTGTTTGGGACAAACTTTGTTATGCTTTGTCAATTCGCATTCGTTCTTGTATACTTCGATCTATTTGTTATGCTAATCGAACGATTTGGTTGTTTGGTCTTGTTCCAACAATATGCCTTACAGCGCACTATATACACATTTCAAAGAGTGAATAGAATATTATTTTTTATTCATCTTCTTTTCGAGCGCACAAACCGAATGCCACTTACACGCGTGGGAATGTATAATAATAATTTTGTATTCCCTGTGTGTGTTACTGTGTTTAACGCAAGACCATTTTACGAAATTCAACTGGTGGGGAGTAATTTAGTTTGTTTGTAACATGCATTGTTGTTACGTTTGCCGTTAAGCACTTCATCTTCTTACACACACACATACATGAAAAGCTCTGTTAAGGTTGAATAATTACATTTAACAGGGGGGAAAAATGTGGCTTATGCACAACAAATAAAAGATGTACAACATCACAATAGCAAATCCTCACGTAAAAAATGTAAAATAAATGTTTAAAACCACAACTGAGGCGCATTCATCTCCATCGCTGTCATTTCGAGAACAATGTTGCGAGGAAAACAATTTT